CTGCCTCACAGATATGGGGCCCTGGGTTCAACTGCAGACCTGGGGGGCTGTCTGTGTGGAGTCTGCATGTTCTCTCCATGTTCGCGGGGGTTAATTGGCTTCTGAGAAGATTGGTCCAGGTGTTTTTGCATGTTTGTGTCTGAGTGTCTTCCTTGCGATGCCCCGGCATCCTGTCAAGGATGTGTTCTGCCTTGTGCTTACCAGGATAGGCTCCGGCTTCCTCCATGACCCTGAACTGGATTAGAAAATGGATGGATGTTTGTAATCATCCATTGTAATATCATGATACTGTATTAACATTAGCAACTGAGCTGACCATGGGATTTTCTTTGGCTACTCTGCATGCTTTGGCCTTTTCAGCTGTCTGGAGGGACTACCTGGTCATGTACTGCCTCTGTGTTTCTCATCCCTGCTGAATGTATTTTAAATTGGCTGTATTATCAAATTCTATCTCAGATTATTGTCATTCAGGTATAGATTTTACATAACAAGTTTGTAAGAACTCTTCCTATCCAATATACAGAAGTTACAACTTTTCAAATACAGTTGTGTATTTATAAAATTGTCTATTTAACTTGGGAGTTGATTCTCTCCATTTATATTCTTTTTAGGTGATCGCTTCAGAGATACAGAATCACCTGCAGGTAAAGTAATGTGCACTTGTCTATATGTGTGTATAGAATTTTATAGATCCTTTCACGTCTTTTTTTTACATTTTGTTAAACCAGATTCATTAAAATTAAAATTAAAAAGCTATTTTAAGTGACAAATAGATATTTTTCCATATTTAATAGCTGATATGTCTTTTTTAAGTTTGGAAAATTAAACACTTACACAAAACAGAAATTGGGAAGCATGTGGTACTTTTGTTTATAAGGCTGTGTCCCAATATGCACACTTGTAGCCTAGCACCCTTTATATGCACGTTCCTGCTTCAAGGGCTCAGGGTGTCCCATTTCTAAATCTGTGTGCTGCCAATCCCAATCTCTGAAGTCCGCATCGGAGCACACTGCGCTGAAGGGAATCACCCACAATGCTTCGTGGACAGTGACGTTTCATGTCACTAGCCTATCACAGCGGAGAGAAACTGCCATATAGAATAAAATATTCACGTGTTAGTAAAACGTAACCTTTTTACAGTTTTAAAAACAGAACATTTTAAACAAAAAAAAACAAATTTAATTTGTCTACTTTAGATACCTACTCCTTTGTATTGTAGGTACGAAGTTTCATCACCTCATTTTGACTGATGAATATGCGCTTACCTGCTGTGTATTTTGTACACAGAATTTTTAGTAGTATGCATATTTAATAGTACAAAGCTTTGAAGTATTGCCAAGTTTACCTTATTTAGTTTACTTTGAATGGGAATGAACTGTTTATATTCCTCATACTGTCATTTTTGTACTGGGACAGATGAGATTAAATACATTTAGTAGTACAAAGCTTTGAATAAACAGCAGTATTGCCAAGTTTTCTTCGGCTGTTTTGAGTGGAGCCTGCTCAACATGGATGAACACGATGTGCCACTTCTTTTGTGGGGGGATAGACGAGATGACATTCAATTTCATCAAAGTGCGAGTGGAAAATGAAAAATGTATCTATTTACATGCCCTTAGCGACTCGAAAAGAAGCATGAACAACAGACAGCTTTTTGACTTGCATAACCAGCGAGTGATGTCACGTGAGGGTGTCCCTTTAACCTTTTTATTAGAGTGCACCCTCAAATACCCACACACTTGAGGTCCACACTTGCGCGACATCATAGGAAGGGGAGGTCAGTGTGAATATTAGGACACAGCCTTAGTCTTTGGACGTCTTTGTGTTAATATTTATTGTTGTTTGTTTTCTACAGCACCACTGATGAATTCAGGAGACAATAGTGTTCACACAGGTATCTACTACAAACACCTGGTAGAATGTGGAAAATACAGCTGTGCACAAAAACTTTCACAAATTTGACACCATAGGAAAAACCTAAATACATTTGCAAAGCACTGTATATGTTCTTATTACATAAGCAGGAGTATTTTTGCTCTTGTTTGATACTTGCACACTTATTGTATGTGTGCAGGTGTACAGACATTTGTATAATAATTTTATAATGCTATTATTTTACATGATGTTCATGTGGTCAAATGTCAATTTAGAATCCAGCAGCACGGTAGTCTGCATTGCTGCCTCACAGATATGGGGCCCTGGGTTCAACTGCAGACCTGGGGG